CCCCCCCCTGCCTTAAAAACCCTCCTTCTTCCTCTCTCTCAACCCCTTCCCCAAACTTCAAACCCTTCCCCCCCCCCTACGCCTCAAAACCCTCTCTCCTCTCCCTCCCTACCCCCCCCCACGCCCTTAAAACCTCTTTCTCTCCCTCTCTCTCACCCCCCCCTCCCTACGCCTTAACCCCCCCGCCTTAAAAACCTCCCCCCCCCCTCTTCCCTTTGACCCCCCCCCCTACGCTTAAAACCCTCTCCTCCCCCCCCCCTACTTCTCTCTCACCCCCCCCCGCCCCTCCCCTGCCTTTAACCCCTCTCCTCTCTCCCTCTCTCTCTCTCTCTCACCTTTGCTCCGCCTCCTCTCCTTCGCTGCTCAACGAGCTCCTGTTGCTGGAGCACCTCGAGCCCAGCGGGGACCGTCGCCACTCGAACTCCATGGCGTCCCTCATGCTGTCGTTGGTGTCTTGGAGCCTCTTGTTGGCTTCGCTGGCGGGGGGGCGAGAGAGCCAATTGGATTTTTTTTTTTTTTTTTTTTTTTTTTTTTTTTTTTTTGGGGGGGGAGGTTATGTTGTGAGAGCCAATTGGAGTTTTTTTTTTTTTTTTTGGGGGGGGTTATGTTGTGTGGTTTATTGGTCGTCGGTTGGTTGGTCGGTTGGTTTAGTTGGTTGGTTATGCATTGATCGGTTTTCTTGTATATTTAGATGTTTTTTTTTTGTTTTCTTTTTGGTTTTTTGGTTTGTATATCTATATGGTTATTCATGTAACTATTATTTTTTTTATTTGTTCATTAATCAATTAAATCTTTACTCATTCATTTCATTCACCACATTCATTAACTTATTTATTGTTACTATCATGATTATTGTTATTTGTGTGTGCTGTGCTGTATGCGGAAAGAAGGTTGTTTGTATTGGTAAATGTAATGTGTGTGTGTGTGTGTGTGTGTGTGTGTGTGTGTGTTGTGTGTGTGTGTGTGTGTGTGTGTGTGTGTGTGTGTGTGTGTGTGTCTAAGGAAAGAATATTGACTTAAGATAACCAAAATCTGGAAAGCCAGTTATGAGAGCTCGAACTACTGAAAGAAATCTATTCATAGCAAAGTTGTGGAAAGTTCGAAAGTTTGAAATGAAAGTAAACAATTATTCCAAACTTCAAGATATGTATTTAGCATTTCGATATTGCAGCATATTTTTTTTTTTTTTTTTTTTTTTTTTTTTAGAAATCCTATGAAAATATTAGTAAATAAAGAAAAAACATGAAATAACAAGAAAGTGAGAAGAAGACTATAACCTAGATCCTTAAAAGATAAGGTGTCCTTTGCCCATCACAATAGATAAGTAGATAGATACAGAGATCACCTTAACTAGATCGACCGATGATAACAAGCTCTGGACTTAATGGTCGAATACTTAATGGTCGAATACTTAATGGTCGAATACTTAATGGTCGATATCTGAGATTTCCCAACAGGTGCTTGTGAAATGAGTTACAATACTAATTACATATCTTTGATTGATTTTCGCTTGTGTATATTCTATTATCATGGTATCATGATAATAGAATATAAGTCAGGAAATTCGAAAATTGGACGATCTATCTCCATATACGTTGACTTAGTAATTAGGAACTGTGGCTGTCAAGCATGGTTTCATGATAATAGAATATGTCAGGAAATTCGAAAATTGGACGATCTATCTCCATATACGTTGACTTAGTGTCGAGATCCTAATTACCAGAAATTACAGCTCATTCATGTCGATACAATACAATACTTGCCGATACAATACGTGAAAAAATGTAAGCAGAAAAAATCTAACGAAGAATTGTGAATAAAAGTTAAGTGACAAAAGGTAAACAGAAAAAAATAACAGAAAATCAAAGAATTGAATAAAAAAAGTGAAAAAATGTAAACAGAAAAAAATCTAAGAATTATGAATAGAAGTAAAGTGAAAAAAAATATATAAACAGAAAAATCTAAGAATTTTGAATACAAAAAAAAAAAAAAAAAAAAAAAACGGAAAGAAAGAATCTAAGAATTGTGAATAAATGTAAAACTTACTGGAGTAATTCAAGCTGCCTTTTCATATGGTCGTACTGGTGCATATATTCCAATACTTGCTCTCGTTCGCTGCGGGAAAAAGAAAGAAAGAAAAAAACTGTAAATTTGGTTCTTTAATGATGATGGAATAAGGATTAATCGTTTCTAATCAAGACGATATTGGATCGAAAAATGGAGAAAAAAGAATGATTGTCATGAGATAGAGAGCGAAAGCAGAACAGAGAGAGAAGAGAGAGGAAGGGAGAAAAGGAGAGAGACAGACAGAGACAGAGAAAGAGAGGACAGAGAGACATGAGAGACAGACACAGACAGACAAGGCAGACAGACCAGAAATAAAGACAGGCAGATAAGACAAGCAGACAGTAAAAAAAAAAAAAAAAAAAAAAAAGAAAAAAACTGAAAAACGAGAGAAGACACAGAACGAGAATTTAATTATAATAAAACAAGTAATATGCAACTTTACCAATCTAGTGATGGAAAAAATGCCTCTAACATTGGTAATTAATGATTCTGCAAAGTGGCAATGATAAAGTTATAATGGTAGGGTAGAGATACTAATGATGATGATGATGATGATGATTGATGATGATGATGATGGTATGATGATGATGATGATGATAGTGATGATGGTACTGATGATGATGATGATGATGATATGATGATGGTGACGAATGGTACTAATGATGATGATGATGATGATGATGATGTGATGATGAATGATGATTATGATAATGGTGATGATTAGGATGAGGATGAGGATGGAGTTGAGGCGGAGGAGAAGGAGGAGCAGGAGGAACAGGAAGAAAAGTAGGAGGAGGTGGGGAAAAAGAAAGAGAGATGCAGAAGAAGAGAAGGAAGGGGAGGAGGAGGAGAGGAAGGAGGAAGAGGAGGAGAGATGGAAGAGGAAGAGGGGAAAGAGGAAGAGGAGGAGAAGATGGAAGAGGAGGAGGGGAAGGAGAAAGAGGTGATAGAAACAATCATGGATATGCTATCAATAATATTACGATGGTGATGTCGGTACGAGATTAGTTTGTGGCTTCATCCTTTTATTTTTCATTATCATTTTTTTTCAAGCCATTTATCTTTTTCATTTTTTGCGCAAAAGAACAGATCTACTTGCCGCATGAACTTCCTCAAACTTATTCTTTTCTCTCTCTCTCTCTCTCTCTCTCTCTCTCTTCTCGTCTCTCTCTCTCTATCTCTCTCTCTCTCTCTCTCTCTCCTCTCTCTCTCTCCTCTCTCTGTCCCTCTTTGATCTCTCGTCCTCCTTCTCTCTATCTCTCTCTCTCTCTCTCTCTCTGATCTATCTCTCTTCTCGCTCGCTCTCTCTCTCTCTATCTCTCTCCATCCCTAGTTCCTTCTATCTCTCTCTCTCTTCTTCTCCTCTCTCCTCTCAATCTTCTTCCTTCTTTCTTCTTCTATTGCCTCATCTTATAATCCTTCCTTCTCTCCATACCCTTCCTTTCCTTTTTCCCCCACCCTTTATCTTTCATCCTTCCCCTCCCTCCCTTTTCTCTCTTCTAATATCTCCTCTTCCATTTTCTCTCTATCTTCTTCATTCATACCCAATCTTCCCTTTTCTCTCACCCTCCCCCTCTCCCCTTTTTCTCTTCTCACTCTCCCTCTTCTCCTTTTCCCTCTCTCCCTTCTCCCCTCTCCCCTTTACTCTTCTCCTCTCCCTCTACCCTTTTCTCCCTCACCCTCCTCTCTCCCCTTTTTCTCTCTCACTCTCCCTCTTCCCTTTTTATCTCCTCACCCTCCCCTCTCCCCTTTTCTCTCTCACTCTCCCCTCTTCCCCTTTACTCTCCTGATCCTCCTCTCTCCCCTTTTTTCTCTTCTCATCTCCTCTTCCCCTTCTCTCTCTCTCCTTCTCCCCTCTCCCCTTTTTCTCTTCTCATTCTCCCTCTTTCCTCTTTTCTCTCTCTCCCTTCTCTCCCTCACCCCTTTTTCTCCTTCTCACTCTCCTTCTTCCCCTTTTTTCTCTCCCTTCTCCCCTCTCCCTTTTTTTCTCTTCTCCACTCCCCTCTTCCCCTTTTCTCTCTCTCTCCCCCCCCCCCTTTTTTTTCTATCTTCTCCCCCCTTTCTCACGGTTCCCAGAACTGGCCTCCCGTCGCCCCATCAGATTCATAAGTGCATCTGACACCACAGGCTGAGGCGACGCGGCCCTCCGGATCCAAACAGAGATCGGATCCCATTGTTTTCGAGTCCCTATAACGTCGACATTCGTACGGATTCCCTTCGCGGAGGATCTGAACGCCTTTGATCTTTTGTTTCTAAGAAGGACAGGGATATGAATGGCATTAAGATGGAGGGTTAATTGAAGCGTGTTAATGTATTCCTTCTGGCTTATTGCATATTCAGGCTGTGTGTGTGGAGTTCTGGAAGTTGGAATTCTCGTCTTTTCAATATGCGGTCAATGGGGAAAAGAATATCCTTTGTGGAGTTTTTTTTTTTTTTTTTTTTTTTTTTTTGTAACAAAGTTTCTTAATTTCTGAGACGGTTGGCAAGAAAGAAAATATTTTTTTTGATGAGTGAAGAGGAAGAGAGAGGGGGTGGGGGTAGGGGGTAGGGGTAGGGGGTGGGGGGGGGGGCAGATCACACGTCTCGTCATCCGAAAAATAGACTTCAATACTAATAACTTTTAATAAATGCTAAATATCATATGGAATTACTGTTTTGCCCTTTCTTTTTTCTTTCTTTCTTCTTTCTTCTTCTCTTTCTTTCTTTCTTTTCTTTCTTTCCTTTTTCTTTACTATCTTTAGATTTGATTCGACTTTTATTCCATTTTTTTCTCTTTTTTACTATCTTTAGATTTATCAAAGACTTTCATCCTTTTTTTTTAATTATCTTTAGATTTGTTAGACATTTATTCTTGACGAAACTTCACACTGTCTCAAATGGATGAATAGATGAATGATTATGTACCTGATTAAGCAAGAGTAGATAGACAAACA